CCCCTGGCTTTAACCTGGAATGAGAAAATTGTCCAAATGCTTTCTGTTGAAGGTATTCGCTCCTCATCTTGAAAGCATTGTGCAGTTGACAGTGGGCGCTATTCAGGACAGCTTTTACAAGGTATTTTAAGGAACCTGTATTTACTAGTAGACAGTAGTGAGTAATTGCAAAGTAATTCACCTCTGTTCAAGGTATCCGCTGAGGGACTAAGTGTAGCATCACATCTCGTACCAGTTATTCGCGATTGTGGCTGTGGTAATCTAGTGCCGACTCTTTACAAAGCTATTTTTGACAAATTGAATATTAACGATATTGATCAGGTAAGGGGTGCTGTGGTCACTTTTACCGAGTAGCTTTCACAAAGTTTTTTTTTCAGGAGGTAAAGGAGCGCGCCATCTATGCGGCTGGACTGTTCATTTCTACTTTTGCTGACGATATGCCTGCAATGGTAATTTAATTTTTTTTATTTTCTGAATTACATAAATATTAATCACTAACAACTAAAAAAGGATTGATCAATGCGAAAAGCTTAGTCCTTTTCGTCGGTTATAGGTCCCGACTACACTGGAGCTTATGGTGGAACGTCTTCGTAACGAAATGACCCGACTGTATGCTGTCCGAGCGCTGATAATGATAGCTGAAAGTCGAACTCCTCTCGTGGATATTTCACCGATTGTGCCATTCCTTCTACCAACATTTACCGATTTCCTCAAAAAGAATTCTCGTGCCCTTAGGGTGAGCTTTTCGCTCGTTTTCCCTCCCCCTTCCTTTTTATTATTCTGCTTCTGTAAACTTGTACATTATAGATTGGTACTTTGCATCTGATTGAAGCTCTTCTTTTGAGAGATGACATACCGGTATTGGATTCGGAGGATTTGACGCTGGTATGTGTTCAAATGTCATCAGTTATTATTTTACACGTCAACTCCATGAACCCGTTCAACTTTTACCAACATTTCGTGAAATTTTTGAGTAATTTCGAAGCGGTCGGACTTCATTATTTTCTCTATGGCTTTTCTCACGACCGCTCTTTCGGAGAATTGGAATCATTGAATGGTCGGCACTAGTTACCCTTACTGCCTCAGTTTTCGACTTTGAGGCCAGGACGTTTCGATCGAAATTCGGCGCAGATCGGCTTGTTGTGGGTGCCAAATTGTACTGAAAAGCCTGTACAGGACATCTTGTAAAGACATGCAACTCCAGAGCCAAAGTGACTCACTTTTACCATCACGCAACTTTACAAGTGCTGGTTAGCTTACTAAACTATCAGAAAGGACAGCGAAAGTGCAAGTTGCCCTCTCGCCTACTGAGCCGATCAATACCTCGGATCCACCCTTTGGAATTGATAGATTTGATTAAAACTCTACCTACGCCCAAGTGGTTTGCGCCCTAAACATGGTTACCGCGTCTTATTTGTGCGAGAAGCGCCCGCGCCGCAATGGGCCTGGAGCAGGTTCGCCCTAACCTAGAGTTCACTTTTTTCAAGCGATGGTACTGAATGCAATCTCGGTCCTTTAAACATATTATCGTGGTTTCAAGCCCGTCGGCCGCGCTTTAGGCGAGTACTGGCGCAGGCGCCTGGCTTGGCGGACATAGTGGTCATGCTCATGGTTGAACCCTGTGAGGAACCGGGCCAGATTTTTCATTGGGGGAGAGTTCTTATGGATGTCTCGCCTGCCCTTCGGGAAGTAGGGTAATATCAAAGGCTCTGTAGGTATTGTTAGGATGATGATTCTGACATTGCCTAAACGTTACAGGCTCACTATTTATTATTATCATAAGTATAA